ATTTTTTAGAATGGTAAATGGCCTGTATTTGTATAGCGCTTTTACTAGTCATGAAAACACAGACATATGCACATATAGCCATGCTGACAGCTCAGGGAGCCTCATAGCATGAGAAGGTTGAGGAAGTGGCTGGTTTCAGAATTCTACAGCACTGCGGCACTCACACTGAAGCCTGTGGTTGTCTCAGCTCAACCCAACATTCTGTGAAACTTGCTTTAACCTGAACGTGTATCCAGCATGGGTTATAACAGCACAACAACGGGTGTGGCAGAAGAAGAAGAGAAGAGCTGGACATAGACAGCCCTTCTGCAAAGCATGGCGTAAAGCCGCAACGCCCACCCGTTCGACACAGGCAACCCAGTATATGACAGCCTGTATTTGTATAGCGCCTTTACTAGTCCCCCACTTTGCCTCCCCCAAAGCGCTTTACACACCCAGTCATCCACCCATTCACACACTGGTGGAGGCAAGCTACAGTTGTAGCCACAGGTGCCATTGGCCCTTCTGGCCAACACCAGTAGGCGGTAGGTGAAGTGTCTTGCCCAAGGACACAACAACCGAGACTGTCCCAGCCGGGGCTCGAACCGGCAACCTTCCGATTACAAGGCGAACTCCCAACTCACGATCGCCCGAATCAGGTTTGTGTCTGGTGTCAGCATTGTCAGTTTTCATGTCTTTCCTGTCCTGTCACATGTAATTATCCTCAGCTGTGTTCCCCGTGTGCTTCCACTTTCCTCATTACCTTCTGGGTAATGGTTTATGGTTTATGTCCGAGTCTCTCTCAGTTACATGTCACATTGTCCCTCATACTATGTGCTCCCCAGTGTCTCCTTGTGTGCATTAGTTCTATTAGTTTCCCAGTTTAGTTGGCTTTGAGTTTATTCTATGTGTCAGTGAGTTTACATTTAGGTCCAATCCCTGCCTGCACACAGCCGTAACATGACAGCTGTTAACTATTATTAAAACTGATTTAATTAAATGAAAAAAATGCATCAAATTTTTTGGAAAAAACAAAATTAATTTGGTAATGTTGTAACTAGATCAGATAAATCATCGTCAAGGAAAGAGTAAAGTCTATAAGAACGCCAATCAGTGTATTAAAAGGGTAAAAAGTTTTTTTTTTACCCAATTACAGAAATAGCTATGTATATTTGATGTTTGGTTGCAACCTCTATCCCATAAAGCAAATAGAAGTAAATTAACCCAAACAGGAGCCATTTCATTCTCACCACGTCAAGTTCTGGCATCGCTTCCATCACCTCTACAAGGTTCTCTATCTTCGTCTTCTTTGTAAACATAAAGTCATCATCCACCCACAGGAAGTACTTGGTGGTTACCTGGGAAACAGCCAGATTTCTGCCTGCAAACCAGCCCTGAGAAAGGAAACATCTTTCACATCTTAATGCAAAAAATAAGAGTTTTAATTCTGATTTCAGATTTATCCTTAAATTGTGGTGGTGACCACATGTGACTGCAGTCCATTTATTCTTTATATAGTTAGTTAGATTAGCAGCAATTTAACATGCTTGATACAACTAAGTAACAGAAGTTTAGCTAATAACATTTTAAATGCATCTGAAATCTGAATTATTTTCCTATCAGATTTTATAGAAAATTTCAAGAATTAAAGTAAAGTGACATATGTTCTAAATTTTGTATAGTCAGTTTAGTCCATAAGAATGTAGGTATATACCTGTGCTGGAGGCATAATGTAATGTTGAATGTTTTCTCCAGTAATATGCTCCGTTTCAAAGCTGTCATCGGCAATAATAATTTTTACGTCGCTATAAAATTGCCGGATGCTGTCAAGCAACACTCTTAAGTGTCTATAGCGCTGGAAAGTTTTTGTTGTGATGGTGACTTGAGAGCTGATATCTGAGAGACAGAAGCAAACAAAGACTTATTTCAATAAAAAGTAGGGTGATCTGCTACAGCATAGAATGAGTTATCGTAGGACACTTTTCTCTATGTGCATCCTTCTCTCACCTATTGTGCCATGGAAAAGTATTTGTCCCCATTCACTACAATGAAATGTTTCAGATATAAAATTGGGTTTTTAAATGCTGATTTCACTTCTTAAAGGGGGGTAGACCTGGGCTATGTCCCAATGCAGTGGCTGCATCCTTTGGAGGACCCCGCCTTTGCAGTCTATGTGGGCCAGGTCCGAGAAGGCCAGAAGTGCGATTCTGTGAAATGGGACGGTCTAGTCTTCAGATTTGTGTCACTGTGTCGGTGGAGTTTAATAAACTCAGCCATCTGCTCCTTGCTATCTAAAATATAACAGAATATTGGAGTAAATTCTCAACCATCTCACACTTCTGTTTAATCAGTTTTCTGTTTGACGTTTATTGAGCTGTGTGAAAAAACGTTAATCTCAGCTAAACTGATTTACTGAGTAACAAATAAAACACTGAAAAACACCAAACAATAACATTTTTAATCAACAAGTGACTTATATATCATGTTTAACCTGAGTAGTGAAAGACTGCGCGAGGGTCTGAAAATGATGTGTCTGGAGTTCACTGTACTCGCCGGCTCAAGTTAGCCTTGACCACCCAGGCAGCTATCGAGCTGGTCGGTAACAGACGTCTCCGAAAACATCGGAGCACTTTTTGCAAATATGCGATGTCTTGATAAATCGAGCAGATATTTGAACTTGACACAGCTACATTCTCACCTGAAAATTTGTTAATTTTATTTTGTGACCCAAAAAGAGTAATATTTTAAACTCTTCAGCTACGCTCCTCAACTAAGTAGCACCAGTAACACCAAAAGGGATTGGATCACTTTTTTCAATAATGAAAGAATTCAACATTTAAAAATTGCCTTTTGTATTTACCCAGATTATTTGTAAATAATGTTAACATTTATCTGATGATCTGCAACATTTAAGTGTGAGAAATATGCAAAACAATATTCAATAAGAAATCAGGAAGGGTGCAACTACTTTTTGAAAGAACTGTACACCTCTAGTGAAGAACCTTGAAAACAGAATTAAGTTAGAAACATTTCATTCATTGGAGGAAGGCAGTCTAAGTTGGCCATAATTTCAGGAATCAATACATGGTACCATCACAGAGATTTTTAATTCCTAGGAAGAACAAACTACCTGTTCCCATCTCATACAGGACTGGTACACGAGGCTGTTTGATGGCAATTGGAAACACAGCTTCATGCATTTCAAACTGGAAAGTGGCTAAAATCAGAAAACAAAAAGCTCAGATTAAATACAGTGCAAAGGACACTCTTGTATAAAGAGAAAAAACAAAAACATAACAAAACATAGTCACTGATTTTCCAATAAACCTTAGAACAGCACACAAACTGCATAACTGGAAAACACTTTGTCTAATTTCACTTTTGCTTTCACTTATTTTGCTTGGACATGACATACGGAATTCAGAAACAATCAAATTTCATGCAAAACTTTATTTTCATATAGAATTTCAAATTTCTAGCTCATTTAACATTGTTTAAACACATACCAAGGTCTCCAGTGTTTATGTGGTAGTCAGTGCTGGTATAGGACACTTTGGCTAGCAAGTTGTTGAGGGTCACCAGGCTGCGAGACTCGATAATCAGTTTGTTCTTACCAGATCCTGTTAATTCAAACCACAAAATTTCACAACAGCATTAAAATTACTTGATTAATAGTTTAAGTTTTAAAGTCAATAAATATGACAAAGTGTACACTCTACAAGCTATATAGATTATATAAAAATGAATTCAAACAAGGTCTATTTATTCTGCCTTTTTGCCTAGCTGAAATCACACTTTCTTATATTTTTTAAATAACAACTAAAGGCGGGACACATTTTCAAGAAAAAAAAAGTTGAAAAGCAGTCAGTGAGTTCACAACAACACTGAGAAAAATAAACAAATTGCTAGAAAGCAATGAGAAAGCAACATACAACAGTATGTTGCTTTCTCATACAACATAATTATGAAAAATAACACAAATGTACCAGATGTATTTGGCGTATTAAGATGGCGCCGAGTATGGCAGCCTCGTCGCGAGCTCCCCCAAGCAACGGCTTTCTTCTGTGTTTAATTTTACTTTTCCTTTATTTTTTCACGAG